TAAGAATAGACGACAGACCTGGGAAGGCTGGGCAGAGGTCAGGATTTTCTCCTCTACCTGCAAAGCCAACCCTCACTCCAAGATCAAGGCTCCTGAAACTCTCAGTGGCGGAGGAGGCAAGTTTCCACGCCACACAGCCTGGCAGCTGCCTTGTGAGGCTGGTAGGACCTAAGTGTCAATGCCATGTGGGAACTTACGGCAGACCTTAATCAGTTCTAAAACCTCTGGGGGCCTCACCCGCAAGGTCCAGTGGGTCAAACAAAAGGGCAGTCATGTTCTTTATACTGTAGCTACTCTCTGCTCCCTTCCCCACCCGTGCCCCTCTGTGCCAATGCATCCCACCAGCAACAGACTCTTCTGAGATCTGATTAAAGTAATGAGCTCTCTTCCCTGAAAACGAAACATTTTTTTTAAATACAAAATTGCTGACCAATTTAAAGGTTCTGTGAATCCCTTACAACTGACCCCTCTATCCCAGATGAACAATTCCCATTTAAGCCAATCATTGACTCTAGTGTATTTATCTCACACGAGGAAACGAAATGCCTGTTGTCATGCTTTTGAGGATATGAAGGTAACTAGCATTAGGGGAATGTAAGGAAAGCTAGCTTTCTTTCCTGACCCTTCCCTCCCTGGGTGGCTTCAAGAATCTGAAAACTGCATGCTCGCTGCAAAGGAAAACACCGTGCCCTCGGTGTGACTTAAAGACAGTGACAATCCCGTCTTTGAATGTAAATGCCCTTAATATTTAATTCTCTCCTCCATGTAGTTACAGCTTGCTTTCTCCACATTATCAAGATGATGGCTTTGGAAGCAGGCTATTGGAGATCCCGAAAACCATATATCCCAATTCAATTTCCTTGTGGAAATCAAAGCGCTCACTCTCTTGAAGAGTTGAAAGAGGCTGAGGGGTCACTGGCTTCCCCCAGGGTGCTGGCACAGGCAGCCCTGGAGAAGGGCAATGTAAATACTCAGTATGAGGCAACAGGGCAGAGCAATTTGTTTTTCAATCTATTTTATTTCAGTTCAAAGCATCTTTGCAGACAGATAGTCCAAGAAAACAAGCCACACTTTGGTTATGCTCGGTCTTTCTCAATCTTCAGACGCAGCTGAATATTGCCAAAGTGTGGTTCGTTTTCCTGTGCTGCCTGTCTGCAATGATGCTTTGAACTGAAATAAAATAGATTGGAAAACAAATTGGTATGCCCTGGCTCTTCCTGTAGGTTTTATATTATCCTTCAAAGCTAGTGTTACCACCTCCTCTTTCCTGGAACCCAGCAGACCCAAATCACAGAGTAAAATGGCAATACTTTAAAGTGAAGGTCCCACCCAAACCTAAAATAGCCATTTAATTCAGGGCTGTTGTTTAACATTGCATTAACATGCCACTCTCTGTCCAGCTCCTGCTCCATTTGCTGGGCTGGGCTCCATCTTCTGATGACATGTGCAATATGGTTGCTGGATACAGTGTAATGCAAAACTTGACACAGTTCGCTTGATTTATTACTGTCTGTAATTTTTCAAGTCCATAAGCCCAAACATCATCTTACTCTTTATTCGAAAACTTTGCTACTTGCTTAAAAGCAGGCAATGATCTGCTTGAAACATGCAACATCATTTTGAAAACTTTTGAGAGGAAACCCAAAATCATTTGCACGTGAATGGTTTAACTGCCACCATTTTCTGAGAACACCTTAGAATATGCCAGTGGATGAACACAACACAAATGTTTTCAAACTTAAAAAACTAAAATAATGAAAAATTTTCTTCATATACAGTTGCATAATTTGGTTAAAAAAAAAAAGATCTGAATCAGAAAAGTTCCTTCTTTACTTTTTTCTTTAAATTTGCTCATCTTTCTCCCAAAAGAGTCACTTGTACATATTCTCCAATTCTGTATAAACTTTAGCACAGCGGGTAGGGCGTTCGCCTTACAAGCGGCCAACATGGCCGACCCGAGTTCGATTCCTCCGCCCCTCTCGGAGAGCCTGGCAAGCTACCGAGAGTATTTGATATGCCAGACACAGTAACAACAAAGTCTCCAATGGAGACGTTACTGGGCCCGCTCGAGCAAATCGACGATCAACGGGAGGGCCTTACCTTACCTTACCTTACTTAAAAGTTTCTATGGGTTGGAGCGATAGCCCAGCAGGTAGGGTGTTTGCCTTGCACACAGCCAACCCGGATGACCCAGGTTCGATTCCTCTGCCCCTCTCGGAGAGCCTGGCAAGCTACCGAGAGTATCTCGCCCGCATGGCAAAGCCTGGCAAGCAACCAGTGATGTATTTAATACACCAAAGACAGTAATAACAAGTCTCACAATGGAGATGTGACTGGGCCCGCTCGAGCAAATCGATGAACAACAGGAGGACAGTGACAGTGAAAAGTTTCCATGAATGTATAACAGGAAGGGGAAAAAAACACAAAATCTATAATTACAGTTTCTCTTATTTGATCCACACACGGCCTTTGAGGAGGTCTGCTTATCCTGATGTCATGGCACATAACTCAATGTGCCACTTCCCCAGGCCTGCAGCAGTAGGGGCAGCAAGCTGGGTTCAGGCCTGAGACTTCATTCACTAACTGTGAACCACTACACAACCTTCACTTTGTTCAGTTCTCCAGCTCCCCCAGTTTTTGCCAGCTCAACCTCTGAACTTAATCAAAGTTTTCCCACCACCTCCCTTTTTCCTATTGGTGGGTGGACACCATGCTACTCAACAAGTGCCAGCAGTTACAAGCGGCACCTTTCTCCAGAGAGGCCTTTCCCCAGCTATCCCAGTAAAAGCTGCTCTGCCAGGCCTACCCTGTTTGTTTTTTTCCTTTTTTAGCCATTGCTACAGCAATTTAGAATAACTTGGCTATTTCCATATTGTCTCTGACCCCCTCAAGTTTAGATCCAACTTGCAAACACAGCATCATGCGTGGTGCCTAGCAGGCACTCAAATCTTTGCACTACAAAAGGCCTAGAATTTTAAATATTTAACAGCAGGTTATGGGCACTGGTGAACAGCTGCCACAAAAATAGGTGAGGTGTGGTCCCAGCTCCTGGAGATTTCCCACACTGATAAAAAAATATATATAACAGATGGAATAGCACAGGGTGTTGAGCATCACCAGCAGTTTCAGATACCAGTTCCGATGCTTTGGACATCTTTTCTCTTGGAGGTTATTTCCTCATTTTTAAAATGAGACTATTGAGGACTGGAGTGATAATACAGTAGGTAGGTGCTTTCCCTGCATGCGGTCAACCCAGGTTCCATTCTTGGCAACTCTTATGGTCTGCTGAGCACCCGGGGAGTGATCCCTGAGCACAGAGCCAAGCGTAAGTGCTGAACATGGGTATGGTCCAAAAACAAACAACAGAAGAAACCATTAGAGTCTGAGAGATGGGGGACTGAGGTTGGGGGACCGGTATTGAGGCACATGCCTTCTACAAGGTCCATCAGGGTACTACATTCCCGGTGTAGCCCTGGAGTCCCTGCCTAGCAGGCCAGCACCTCCAGGATGACCCAGGTAATCCCAAGCATCCTGGGAAGGGTCCCCTAAGCACCACTTGGGAAACCAGAATAAAATAAATAAATAACAAAATGAGAATATTAACACTGACATTGGAATGAAGATTCTAAATAAGAACGGAATAAAGCACATAGTAGAGTCCTTCGCACACAGGAATGTGTCCATAAATATTAACTACCAATTTAAAATATTAACTACCAATTTATTTCTATGCTGCAGGAAAACCTCTACCTGACAGCTGTATTGTTTACCTGTACACTGTCTGTCCACATCACTAGAATTAACATGCAGCGGAAAGGTGGATTTCGTATTGCTGGTGTTCAGCACGGTATATCTAGGGATCTGAATCAGGGCGGACAGAGAGATACCGGGAGCCGGATGCATGCAAGCGTGCAAGAACGAGGTTTGCAGAAACCATGAGCTAACAATTAGCCAAAGACGGGCAGGTTTAGGAAAAACTGCCAAAGAAGAAAGACCCGAAAGTGGAAAAAAATGATAGAATCGTCCCTGATCTAGCCCAATGGATGAAAGCTGCACTTTGACGTTCGAATGAAACCTCCGTTAGACCCCGTAAGGAAGAAACTGCGGTTCCCGTTTAGAGATTTGGAAAGAACACGCTGCCAACAGGATGACGCGGGTCACCGAGCAGGGGGCTCTCGTTTCACGAGACCCAGAACCCCTTGTACACTCGATACGGGAGAGGGGAGTGCGGGGGGGGGGGGGGGGGAAGGATGCAACACATTTAGGTTCTTGGAAAAGGTTCACTGGCGCCGAGGTCCCGTGCGCGAGCAAATCTAAAACACGCGTCGCACCGGGCTTTTCGGTTCTGCTGGTGGAGTGGGGGGGGTCTGTTAACTCCCAAGTGGAGAAAGCAAGTCCCGCTCAGAATAATACAATCAGTGTGCGCCGCCGGAAGAGCCCAGGAAAGCCAGGATGTTTTGTCAACTCCAGGGCCACCTGCGTCCCGGGCAGGGGCTGGCACACCTGCTGGGCACGGCGCCAGGGTGAAAACCTGTTCAGCTCTGCTAGTCAAAGGCAGCACGAGCCCTGCGACCTCCATCGCAAGTCCGCAGCGTGGGCCCCGGGCGGGGACGCGACCACAGACACCTGCAGAAGGGAACTTGGCCGCGTTCAAATAAAACTTGGACGGTGGACGCCGAAAGCGGATTTCACGGCACGTTCATCAAGTGAACGAATGACGGTCGCGCCGCCGCACCCCCGACGCCCCCGGTTAGAATGTGCACCTCCCGGCCAGCTCTGGGGGCAGGGGGGGCGCGGCCGAGGCCGAGGCCCCGCAGTCCGCACCCGGCGGCGAAGAGGGGACGCGGGGACCCCGCGGGGACCCCCGAGGGCGCCGCGCAGAAGGGACGGGGTGGCGAGGGTCTCTCTGAGCTGCACGCTCCTCGTCTCGGAGAACTCTCTCGGGCCTCGTTTGCAAAAGGGGTCTCCACGCGGAGTCCCAGCCCCGTTTCTATGGTTACCTGTTCAGCACCGATTCAAACTGCCGTTCTTTATTGACAGCGCCATGGAGGACACGAACACTCTTGCCCGAAGGGAACAATAAAGCTTTCTCCATTCAACAGCGCCGGGGACGCCAGGAGGCGGCCATCTTGAGACCAGCGCAGAAGCGCTCTACCGCGGGAGGGGGCGGCCCGGCGGCGCGGGGCACCGGTCACGTGCCGGGGGCGGGGCCCGGGTCACGTGCGCGCTGTGGCCAATGGCAGCGCCCCTGAGCCGCCGCTCGCGGCTCGGGGCTCTGACCCCTGACCCTCGCCCATCCCCTCCTCCCGAGCTCCGGTGTAGAAGCCCTTTGGCTGGTCCCCCGGCCCTAGCCGGAGCTGGACTAGCTCAGGGTCTTATTTCAAAGAATGGCGGAGAAGTAGGCCTACCGGTCTTCTTTGCATTTTTTTCTAAAGCACGATCTCGTGCAAGGCGGAGACTCTGAGCCGTGTCCCCAGACTTACTCTCATTCGGTGCTCAAGTTAGACACCCGAGGCGCACCGGGCCGCCGGGGCCTCCCGCAAACAAGGCGTTTTGATCCCGCCTCTCTGCTCCCAATGTTAGGAGTTAGCGGGGCTGGGGGGTAGGGAGGGGAACGTAGCTTTTCCGTTGGCTCAGTTTCCATCGCGCTCGGTTGCACGTTAGGAGCGTTCCGCTTTGCCGCTCCTCTTACCCGCCCTCGCTGCCGAACAGGGGCAGTCAGATACAGACAGTATCAGACTAATTAAGTCACAACAGCGCTGGCCTACTGAAAGGCACGTTGTCACTCTTATCATTGACGCTCCGCTAATTTTTCTGTCACTGCCAGTCATGCCGCCAATCCAGTTGTCTCGGCACAATGTCGAGTTACCCGCTGTTAACATGCCGCTGTATAAATATTCAGTCATTCGGAGATCTGTCATTGTCACACTGACTCCCAACAGCATCGGTGCTTATAGTCACATTCAGTGGACCGGGCTAGCAGCATGTGGTGTCATCCTGTCTATCGATTTTACTGTCGATAGCCGACACCCTACCTGTGGCACACAGCCCAAGCAGTTTTGGACAAAATAAGTGCTTGTTCGGTGTGCCCAGCTGTCACCCTTTCAGTTTCCACTGTCGTTGTCAACTAGTTTCACTGCCACAGAGTCAATATTCAGCAGGCCACCCCCAGGTGCACAGCTATCCCTCTTATCACCCGATCAATTAGTCGCCTTCACATGCACACTTGTCACTGTTGCATTCAAGGTCAGGTTTATGGTAGCTGAGTGTCACTTTCTTAGTGACTAGAGTCACATCTACACCTACTGGGTGTCCTAATCACAAGTTCCACTATCCCCTTTGGTGGGGATACCTACAGAAAAAGGTAGCCAGAGTTAAGACAGTGATCAAATATCCAGACTGCTGCTTAGTACATAGTAGGTGCTCAAGAAATAGTTACAGAATTCATTATTTTTCCTTCTTGTTACTGGGCCCGCTCGAGCAAATCGACGATCAACGGGAGGGCCTTTACCTTTTTTTTTATTGCTGGTGTTATGTGTTCAGGCATGGAATGCGCTTGGTTGCTGTATGCTGTGGGACTGTGGTGGGGATGCAGTGGAAATCTAACCTAATATCGCACACACGCTTGATTTCTACCATGAGCTTTATCCCTGACCAATTTAATAAAAAACAACTTTTTTCCTGTCTTGACTGCACTCAGGGATCACTCCTAGCAGGAGTGATGGGGTGCCAGGGATTGATTCCAAGACAGCCACATACAAGGAAAGCACCCTTCTTGCTGTATTATCACTCCTACCCTAGTTAAAAAAAAAAAAGGTATGTTCCTGGGATGGAAAGATATATCAATAGATGATTCCATCCCTAAGAACTGCTAGTAGTAACCTCTAAGCAATGAGACACAAGTAAAACTGAGCACTAAGAGGTGTTATCCCAGAAACAAACAAAAAAATAATAAATAAAAGTAAGTTTTCCGATACACCGTATGTGAATATGCATGGCTTGAAAATTTAGTCTTAAACAATAGTAATAAGTTGGTAGGTTCTATATAACCTTCCTATTCCATATTTTTTTTTCACTTTTTGGGTCACACCCAGCGGTGCTCAGGAGATACTCCTGGCTTTTGCACTCAGGAATTACTCCTGGGGGTGCTCAGGGGAACATATGGGATGCTGGCATTCGAACCCGGGTCGGCCGCATGCAAGGCAAACGCCCTACCTGCTTTGCTTTCACTCCAGTGCCCCCTATTCCATCTTAACAGACATTGCATTCTATAGGAACTAGAAGTAGGAAGCATCAGAAATTTGGCTACCACATACACTAAATTCCTTAAAACATTGTTACAAAAATCTGAGGGTTTTTTTTGGGTTAGTCTAACGTGTCTCCATTGGAGACTTTGTTGTTACTGTGTCTGGCATATCGAATACTCTCAGTAGCTTGCCAGGCTCTCCGAGAGGGGCGGAGGAATTGAACTCGGGTCGGCCATGTTGGCCGCTTGTAAGGCGAACGCCCTACCCGCTGTGCTATCGCTAATTTTTTAAAAAAATTTATTGAATCACTGTGAGATAGTTAAGTGTTTTCATGTTTGGGTTACAATCACACAATGATCTAACACCCATCCCTCCACCAGTGCACATTCCCCACCACCAATTTCCCCAGTATATCCCCCTTTCCCACTCTCCCCCTGCCTCCATGGCAGACAATATTCCCCATACTCTCTCTCTCTACTTTTGGGCATTATGGTTTAGAATATAGATACTGAGAGGTTATCAGAAAGATGTAAGTTTTGTTGAAATCTTAAGGCTGTGGGAGGGAGAAAATTTCACCCTTTTACAAGAACTTGCATTTCTTTAAACGATCATCTTTGTTTATGTATTGTTTATATTTTTTTAATTAATTTATTTATTTTGAATACCCATCCCTCCACCAGTGACCATTTCCCACTACCGCGGATCCCAGTATTCCTCCCCCCCTCCCATGCACCCTGTCTCTGTGGCAGGGCATTCCCTTTTGTTCTCTCTCTCCTATTGGGTATTGTGGTTTGTATAAGAGTTAAGCCTGATTTTCAGGGAGAAACGTTGGATGATTTACTTTCCATTGATCACTTTGTATATAGGGAGATGTCGTGCGGCCGCATAAGCGGCCACACAGTTTGGAGTAAAAGTCCTGGTTCCCGCATACTCGAGCTATGCTTGTAGAGGCTCCTGGTCACCGGGGTTCCATCTGGAGGAGGCGGGATGTGGCACCTACCCCATCTAGGACTTCCCGGTCATCTCGGCTCTTTTTGGAACCTGGTGCATTCTCCAGGAGCTGTGGAGCCGCCCAGCAGCCTTTCTTCTCTGTGGCTGTGTGCTGTAAAGATGGCACTGGGGGAGCGGATTGTGGGCATGACTTCTGGAATCAGAGGTTACCTGGGAGTATTTAATTTTTAAAAAGGCTTCATATTCTCTGTAGCACATTTAGAAACTATAGCATAGATTTTCCTTATGTTTTAGACAGATAAAGAATCACCACACACACACACACACACACACACACACACACACACACACACCTACAATCAATGACTACTGTTTCCTTATAATTATGAACTCAGGGTTTTGTATTTGTGGAAATTCGTGTGTGATTGACTTACCTACAGTTCAAAAAAAAAAAACAGCGCGGGAAAATGGAGAACAATGGGTGGTTGAGCATAATATGGGGTGGGGAGGTGGGGTGTGAAAAAATACTAGCTGAGCCTGCTAAGGACTTTCTATCTATGGAAGACTTCAGGGGGCTTAGAAAAATCTATTATGCTCCCTATTCAGCAGAAATACCCAATTCTTGACCTTGAGGGAAGCTCCTTGAGGATGTTTCGATCTGTTTTCTACATTGACAGAGAATACTTCCAGGCTGATGCCTGAGATGACTCTTGCTACCATCTATTTCCAGAATGACTACCACATGCCAAGAGCAGAGACAAATAGAATTTGGTCCCACCACTTTTGTTAGAACTGTATTCATCTTTTATCTTACCTTTACTCCCTTTCCAGGTGCCATACCAAGACTTTTATCATTTAGGAATTGGAGGAACTGGGGTTAATAAACATACAGAACATTCCACCTCTGAGAAGACAAAAGCACACTCGTCTTTAGTGTACATAGGTTATTCCCAAGAATATAACATGTTCTGGGACATGATATGAGAATACAAAAAGCCATGAGAATAAATATTGTATCAATTATCTTTTTAAAGCATAACATCATGATGTTGGAACTTAATCCTGAAGAGAAAGTTAAGAAAAGCTCCAACATTTAGAAAATCAACAACATATGCACACACACAAATACATATATATATATGTTTGGAAATCAAAGAAGAGTTCAAAACATTTCTAGAAAAATTCTGCTCACTGCCATACCCTACCAGGTGAGACTAATATCCAGCCCCCAGACCTAACCTCTGTTATTTCAACCAGCTCAATCCATAGCTCCTGAAGCAGGTAGCCACATATGTGGCCACTCAACAGCTCCTTATAAAATTTTCACACAGTTTATATCACTGTGTGAAGACGGAGAGGGAAGGAAAAGAACAATTTCTAGCCTAAATCCTCAGAGTCCTAGGGTGGTATAACTACAAAGATTCACCCTCAGCACAGCAGGTCCATTGCAAAACCAACGAGGAAGACATGTAAAAGACATATAAAAATAAAAATGAGTGCAATGAGCAAAAAACAATAACATAGAAGTCTCAACCAGCAACAATCAGTTCAGTAAATCCTCAATGACTTGAATGACATCATGTGAGAATATTTTATGAGCACAAAGAAACAATGGCCTGGGTAGTCAGCACAGCACAAGAAAGTTTGAGAGTCAAAATGAGAAAACTGGAGCTGGAGTGATAGCACAGCAGGTAAGGTATTTGCCTTGTACGCAGCTGACCGGGTTCGATTCCCAGCATCCCATATGGTCTCCTGAGCACTGTCAGGAGTGATTCCTGAGTGCAAAGCCAGGAGTAACCCCTGAGCATCTCCAGGTGTGACCCAAAAAGAAAAAAATTAGAAAACTAAATGCATAAATGAAGAGTATGGTAGGTGATATATATATTTCTATTGAGATTATA